TCTCGTGTATTATTTTTTGTAACGAACTAATTTTTTGGTGTATCTGGTTGATGTGGTTAGAAAGTTTTTGGTGTAACCCGTCAAAGAACAGAATATGTAACCGTAGGTTAACATGTAACATGGATTGTGTTGAATTCTTGGGTTGCTGAATTTATGGAGTAGACTTCTCTCGTCACGAGTAGACTTCTCGTGTCACGAGTAGACTTCTTATCAAGTAGACTTCTCTAAACTCGAGTAGACTTCTTAAAGACAATAATAATACATAACTTAATGATGATTCAGAGGGATATTTCCCCTATTTATATTACATATCTTGACAACCTAGTAGACTTCTCGTGTCACGAGTAGACTTCTTATCAAGTAGACTTCTCTAGACTCGAGTAGACTTCTTAAAGACAATAATAATACATAACTTAATGATGATTCAGAGGGATATTTCCCCCATTTATATTTCATATCTTGACAACCTAGTAGACTTCTCGTGTCACGAGTAGACTTCTTATCAAGTAGACTTCTCTAGACTCGAGTAGACTTCTTAAAGACAATAATAATACATAACTTAATGATGATTCAGAGGGACATTTCCCCCCATTTATATTACATATCTTGACAACCTAATAGACTTCTCTTGTGTCAAGTAGACTTCTCGACTTGTTCAGATTCAATCAGCACCATCATCGAATCTCTACATATGATTTTATTGAAGTTAGACTACATAACGACTTGGCATGAGATAAAACAAAACACACTAAGTACAATGTAAATATTAACTTACACAATAGGGGCGAGTATGACCAGGTTGCTTGCACTTGGAGCAACTGTATTGCTTATGCATCTTTCTTGGTCTTGTGCCTTTTTTCCTAGACATTTCTAGCCAAGTTTGCCATCTAGATTTTTTCTTTCTTCCAGGAGGAATCTTTATGACTGGAACACCACATGGTTCCTTCTTGACATCATTTTCATCAGAAATAGGCGGGTTAATGGGATGGGAGTATGCCGCATATAAGGATTCCCGTGAGTAAGATGGACACACAAGTGTTGACAGTTTCACGTTGGCCTCTTCTGCCGCTGCAATAACATGTGAGCAAGGGATTTTTTCAACATCATACACACCACAAGAACACTTCCTTTGTTGCAAATCAACAATACAATCTCGTGCTCCACCCTTAACAAAGAAACACCAGCCATCAATGGGTTCTGCCTTCAAATCTCCTGCCTCATATTCTCGAATTGCCAATAGATACTCTACTCCACGGGTATGGCTCGTTGTGAGACTTAGAGCATCTTCACGCCTTTTATGATACCATCTCCCGAGCTTTGTTCTTATAAACTCTAACAGAAATGTGATGGGAAACCCTTTGGCTTCCTTAACAGCCGCATTGATCGATTCTGCGATGTTGCTAGTCTTTATGTTGTACCTGTCTCCCGGGAAATGGACTCGTGACCATAACCTCGGGTCCGCAGTCTCCAAATATTGAGCAAGTCTGGGATTTACCTCTCGGATTGCGTCCATGTATCGATTATAATCGTAAGTCGTATGTGCATATGCAGCACCTTTCACCAAGTACATGAGTTGCTTCACGTGAAACTTAGTCACAATGTTTTGCTGCAGATGATAGTAACATATACCTCGTGTTTCCCATGGTATGACATTCTTAAATGCATCAACTATGGAGTCGTGCCGGTCAGAAACTAGGACAAGCGGATACCCATCTGAGAAACATCTACTCAATTTGGTGAAAAACCAATTCCATGAATCATTACACTCAGAATCCACAATTCCAAAAGCCAAAGGAAATATCTGAAAGTTACCATCCTGTGCGGCTGCCACTAGCAAAACACCTCCATACTTCCCAGTTAGATGAGTCCCATCTACAACAATCACTCGCCTCAAGTACTTAAAACCAGCTATGGAAGCTCCAAATGAAATAAACAGGTACTTAAATCGATCCATCTCATCGCATACAAGGTCTGTGACACTTCCCGGATTAGCTCTCTCAATTTGACGCAAATAAGAAGGCAGCTTCTCATATCCATCTTCTGCTGTTCCTCTCACCAATTGTTGGGCATATATCAAAGCTCTATAAGATGTGGTGTAACTGAGGTTTAGACCAAACATCACCTTCATAGAATCTCTGATATGCTTTGGCACAATTCCATCGATTATGCCAACTCGTTCCACAAACAGAGCCCCAATGTACTTAGGTGTACAACGTCTATGATGAGCTGACCGGTCTATCACAGAACAAGTATGATCTTTCAGATACTTTGTCATCCAGAATGTGTTTGCTTCGTTCTTCACACCCGCTCTAATCATCCAAACGCATCCTTTGACTGAACATTTTGCTACAAACAAAGACGTTGTAGACTTATATACTTTGAAAACAAATCTCTTCATAACTGCCATCAATCGCAACTCAGATACAAGCTTCTCCTTGCTAGGAAAACTCTGATTAACAAAGATTTTAGACGACCAACTACTATCCAGTCGATCAAAACCACCACAACGCTCTCTTACACCCTCAACTTCATCCTCATCTTTAACTTTCCCGTACTCACTGTAATCCACATCTGAGTCATCATACTTTTCTTTCATATTCTGATTAACTTCATCTTCATTCAAACTATCAGCTTCATCCTCATTTTTAACGTTTTCATCCCAATCTTCATCGTCTTCATCCCAATCTTCTTCAACATCAGAGCACGTATCCGCATGTCCATTCACATCATCATTCTCATGGTCCACTATCCTACTCGAAACACAAAGGCGAACACCATGCATCTTACTTAACTCAATCAAGCTCTGAACATGTCTATCATTTGTGACATACATAGGTGGAGAATCAGGAGGCATTTGTTGAAGCATCTGAGGTGGTAAGGGATAGGATAACTCCACCTTTGTTTCCTTTTCCAGCATATAATCCTCTTGCACCATTCCAAGAAGCTCAACATGTGTGCAACCATCTCTTAAGAACAACATCCGCCCTCTTTTGTTATTATCCACCTCGAACTGCCAAACTGATTCAGTCTTAACCTATTCTCCATAAACAGCGGGTATGTGAACCATTCTCTGTGAAAAAAAAAACCAAATCCAAACCACATTAGACATCAATGTTGCATAAGTAGACTTCTCGGTAAGTCGAATGAAGTCTACTTAGTAGACTTCTATAGTAGACTAAGAAGTCTACTCTTAATAAGCTAAGTATCATATAAAACATGAAAACTCATTCGACTATACCTATAATATATAAACATGCAAAACTTATACATAAGCAAGAAAACTTAATAACAGAAGCTTAGGATCACGAAAATCATAAAAATTCGTTATATATTGTATATAAATGATTTTTTTTTTAAAAACAAGAAAAGTAGACTTCTCGGATAAAAGTAGACTTCTCGCAGGTTAATTTTGCAATTGCCAAAATATTAGTAGACTTCTCTATGAAAAGTAAACTTCTCGGAGAAGTCTACTTTCGTAAGTAGACTTCTCGCAGGTCATTTTTGCAATTGCAAAATATTTGACTTTTTGGTCAATTGCAAAAATGACCTGCGAGAAGTCTACTTTCTAAAGTAGACTTCTCCGAGAAGTCTACTTCAGTAAGTAGACTTCTCCGAGAAGTCTACTTTTGTAAGTAGACTTCTGGCAGGTCATTTTTGCAATTGAAAAATATTTGACTTTTTGGTCAATTGCAAAAATGACCTGCGAGAAGTCTACTTACGAAAGTAGACTTCTCCGAGAAGTCTACTTACGAAAGTAGACTTCTCCGAGAAGTCTACTCTAAAAAGTAGACTTACGAAGTCTACTCTAAAAAAATGACCTTTTGTAAGTAGACTTCTCGAAGGTCATTTTTGCAATTGACCAAAAAGTCAAATATTTTTCAATTGCAAAAATGACCTGCCAGAAGTCTACTTACGAAAGTAGACTTCTCCGAGAAGTCTACTTTTCATAGAGAAGTCTACTCTGAAAAGTCAAAGGTTGGTCAATTGCAAAAATGACCTGCTTCTAAAGAAGTCTACTCGAGAAGTCTACTCCATTTTTTTTGTTATCAAAGGAAATGGAGTAGACTTCATTCGGACCAAAAGAAGTCTACTTTTTCATGCGGTCAATTGCAAAACTAACCTGGGCGTTGACTAGTAGACTTCATTCGGACCGAGTGAAGTCTACTTTCGGAGCCCAGATCTGAAAACACCAAAATTGACTGAAAATCCGACTTACCACTCGCCTTTAGCTTCATTTCTGGTCAAGATCTTTGATCCTAGCCATAATGAAAGAAGCACAACCGCAACAAACAACCAAATCGCCAAAATATAGAAATTTTATGAACTTCAACTTTTTAATAGACAAATTATAGAGTTTTTGGGAAGAAAATAGAGAGGAAATGGAAGAATAGAAGCTTAAAGGGAAAATAATGAGCTCAACAAACTCAAAAATGGAATTTTGCCACCATTAAAGCTTCAAGATTGGTTGAAAATGGTAGTTGGGTGAACTGATGATGATGGCATTTTCGTAAATAAGTGAGGAAGATGAGGATTAGTTGGTCAATTGAATTTCCGAAAATAAATAAAATTAATTAAAGACAATGGCAATTTCGTGAATAACTTAAACTATGAGGGATTGTTTGGACACAAAATGGCAAATGTTGGGAAGGTGATTTTTATGGGTTAGATTTGCAATTCAAATCAAATTTTAGGTCATTTTTGCAAGTATCCCAAAATATTATGGTAAAAAAGTGTTGAAACTTTGTTGTCAAAGTTTTGTTGTTAATTTCCAACAAATTCTCTCAAAAAGTTCTGACAAACATTTTGTTGGACATTCGATAGAATATTCCTTCAAATTATCAACCATTTATATATTAATTTGTGACACTATTTTTTTTATCAAATATTACTATTGATGAATTATAATAAAATAAAATACACAAAATCTAAGCAAAGTTTAAAATAAAATTATAATGATTAATAATTAAATAAGTAAATAAAGCTAAAAATAGAACAACTAGCTATAAAAGAAAAGACTTAAAACATGATGAAAAAATAAGAATAAAACTAAAATTTAAAGGTCTGGGTTTTCGCTTGCTCTCATCTAAAGGTGGAACCAGATTTGGATATGCACTTCTCATTATAGAAGCCCAAAAGTCAACATCATTAAGCTTCAACCCCATCTCATCAATTTTTTTATTTGCTTTGTTCAGCTCTTCTTGTGTTTCAATATGCTCTTCTTCGAAAAATGCAGAAGTATCAATGGCATTTGGGTCAGCATTTTTGGGAATTGAACCGTATCCAAACCGTCCGCCTTTCTTCACTTGAACTTCCTAAAATTTTGAAAATATATATTGTAAAGTAAATAATGTTATATGCAGTAACATAAAAGGAAATAATTTTTAGTTTTTCACCTTTTCAAAGATGATCTCAATTTCAGTCTGTGTAAGACGGTGTAGCTCAAGAGGGTCATCATGGTCTTGAGTCCTTTGACTCAGAATTTGCTGCTCCAAGGCTCTGCACTTTTTAGCGATCAGCTCAGCTTTACACAACCGATCCAACAGGCTTTCAGCTCAGCTTTACACAAACGATTCAACAGACTTTCTCTTATGGGTGGCCTCCATAAAGGTCACCATATCGAGGAGTTCTCCTATTTCATCATTTTGCTAATAGTTTGAGAAAAACAATCAGCAAAACATAGATATTGTTTAGATCCATACCAGAAAACCCCATAATATCATAGATATTGCTTTATAATTTGTTGTTTGTTGTATCTTTTATCAAAAAAAAAAAAAAAAATATATATATATATTTATTTATTCATCTATTTAGAGTTTCTTGCATTCGAACATTGCACCCTTAGTCTAGATTTAAAATTTGTTAGTCATTCATAAACAGAAAAATCAAAAACAAACTGGCAGTTTTCCTTTTTGCTTCAGCTATCAACCAATTTTTTCCTTTTTGCTTGTATAAGTTTGATCTAAGTGAATGAGAGATAATGCTGGAGACGCCGGTATGGCCCCTATCTTGGCCGCCATTCAAGCACAACTACAAACCCTAGGTGATCATATGACCCAGGTCGAGCAGTCTAGAAGAGAGCTGATCAGGCATGTACCGCCTATAAACGGTAGAAGGTATGCCTGACCTTGAGGATGCTATGCCCCTCCGAAAATAACAAAAGCAACCTAGACAGCATCATCCTCCTGAGCCTCAATACAACAAAAGATTCAGGGATCCTCTATATAGAGGACGAGTGAGGGACGATGACCTTACCCGCCAAGAGAACAACAAGGTTAAACTGATCGCCCCAACATTCGCTGGAAGAGTCAACCCGGAAGCTTACCTCGAGTGGGAGAGATGGACATATTATGGATACAATGACCGGAAGAAGGTAGCCTTAGCCGCATTATGCCTTTTCTTAGTGGGATATAGATGTGTCAGAAAGGAGGTGACATCATTTTGAAAAAAATCACTACTTGGACAGCCATGCAATTAAACTTGAGGAAGAGGTATGTTCCTCCCCATTTCCATAGAGATTTGCAACAGAAGTTTCGTAAGTTGATGCAGGGAAACAAACCGGTAGAGGAGTACTTCGAAGAATTCGAACAACTTAGGAACCGACTGGAGTTAGAAGACACGGAGGAGATCCTTATGGCTCAGTTTATATATGGACTCCAGGACCGCATTGCTTGCAAAGTTGAAAGACAGCCCTACCATGAAATGTTAAAGCTCTTGGACTTGGCAATACAAGCCGAGCAACACATCAAACGCAATCTTGCTAGGACTACTAGGAGTGAAACAAAAATTGGAGTCCTGAACCCCCAAAAGCAATGGACAAAAGCAATGATGTGGAAATCGAGTCCTGATTCAAGAAGTCGGTAGCCAAACCCTCCAAGGGGACTTATCCCGAACCAGGTAAAGGTCCATTTAATCTAAGACCTCGTGACTTTACATGTTTTAAGAGCCAGGGACGAGGCTACATGGCCAGGGAAAGCTCCAAAAACCGAGTTATGGTCGTCACGGCTGATGGAGGATATGAGTCCCAAGATGACCTGCGAGAAGTACTATTGAAAGCTGGGAATGAGGAGATCGAATAATCTGACTCAGGAGAGCTACTTATTATTTGTAGAGCCCTAAGCTTTCTAGTTGAGCCCGAGACAGTCCAGCAAAAAAATATCTTCCACACCTAGCGGTATGAGAGCATCGTTTACTAATCATGCTGGACAGTCAAATATTTTTCAAAATGTTTTCAAACGTTTTCAATGGTTTTATCGAGTTGAGTCACAAAAACATTTGATAGGTTGTCTGGGCCTCCGAATGCCTTTTTGTTTTAGGATGGGATAGGAATAACCTGGTCTTGAGTATCAGTAGAAAATGACGAGGCATGAAGGAAGAGGTGGACAGGGTATTGAGCGATTGTGAGCAGTGGGGGACAAGACCAGTTGAAGTGTGCATTGAGCTGAGCGATTCAGACGCAGGCGATGATTGAAGATCGTCCAGCCATTTCTTTGTAGAGATCATTAACATGCTCAAGTCAGAGTGAGCCATTGGTGGAGATTAGCTCAAGTGAGAGTGATCCATAGCTAGAGATTATGGAGTTTAGCTCAGATGAAAGTGATTCAGTAAAAGCAAGGGTAGCTAACTCAGACAACTCATGGAGCTCATACCAATAAAAAGAGTATATGAAAACCGTAGATATCGAGGCTGAATTGTCCATGGTCGGACTAGAAATTTCCAAGGAACCTAAGACTGAGCTGTAAGTGTTATTAGAAGGAGTACAACCCTCAACATCATAAGGGTATTTTAATGATCACTGAGTTCTCAGATGTGGAGATACTACATCGGGTTTTAGCCAATATTGGGGTATTGACTCTTAGGCGTTAAAAATTTATTCGTCAATTGGCGCTGTTGCCATTGAGAATTTTAGTTTAATCATTAATGTTTTTGTTGGTTTATGGCCAATTCTATTCTTTTCTTAGTACTAACTCATTCATCTTGCAACTCTGCTTTGATAGGTAAATGAACCTACAGTCCAAAGGCACATTAAACCTTGTTCCTCATATCAATGAAATCCAACTTTTCTAACGTTCGAGGAGGATCCGACAATGGCAACAGACTGTAAAACCAGACTGTGAGGAAATGAATTTTCCTATTCCAGCACAAGGTCCACAAGGAGCAGCCAGTGCTTAAGGACAGTCCGCAGGGTCCACAAGGTCTGCAAGGTCCCCAAGGAGCCCACAGACAACATGGTGCTCAAGTTCAACCGCGAGTGGTTAGACAAATCAGAGCTGGTGATGCACCAAACTTGGGCGCTAACTGTCACGGCATCTAAACCCCACCTGTGGCAAACAATAATTTTGAGATCAAGAGCGGCCTAATATCCGTTGTCCAAAACAACCGTTTCTTCGGTTTACCACTCGAAGACCCTCTTGATCATCTTGATCAGTTTGATCGGGTGTGCAACATGACCAAGATAAATGGTGTGAGTGAAGACGGATTCAAGCTATGCTTGTTTCCCTTTTCCTTGGGAGACAAAGCTCATGTCTGGAAGAAGACTCTGCCCCAAGAATCTATCACCTCTTGGGCAGATTGCAAGTAGGATTTTCTTACAAAATGTTTCTCTACTAGCTGGACAGCTCGGCTGCAAACGAGATAAGCGGCTTCCCTCAAAAAGCAAATGAGAGCTTTGGAGAAGCTTGGGAGCGCTTCAAAGGATACACCATGCAGTGCCCACATCACGGGTTTTCTCAAGAGTCCGTACTCAGCATCCTTTACCAAGGAGTCCTACCAAAGATCTGTATGCTTCTTGATACCACCTCCAACAGTAACTTCCTTATCAAGAACGTGGCGGAAGGACTTGAGCTCATCGAAAACTTGGCTCAGAGTGACTCATCTTACAACGAGGACTACAACCAATCAAACATAGGCTCTAGGGGTAAAATGGATGCTAGCCGAAAGATGATAAAGGAACTCAATAAGAAGATGGACAAGTTACTACTTTTCCAGACCCAAAAGGATGTACACTTCATGGGTGAATTCACTCATACACAAGAAGAATAGGATATTCAGTACGAAGATGTTTGCTATGTCAATGCACAAGGCGGGTACAACAATTGGAGACCTAACAACAACCTCTCCTATAGTAATCCAAATGTTGCCAATCCTCAAGACTATTTCTACCCACATAAACAACGAGGGAATAAGCCATTCACCAACTACTCGAATCAACAGGGGTTTGCTCCAAGAAAACCGTTCCAAGGTGGTTACCAGCCAAGGCAGTAAAACTACGCTCCTCCCGGTTTTCAACAAAAGAAAAACAACCAACCACCACAAGCCGAATTTGATCTTGAAAACACCCTCAAACAGCTACTCTAGGGTCAAACCCACATTCAAACCGATATGCACAAGCGCTTTGCTCACATGCATAACAAGATCGATAGATTGAATACAGACCTTACCGGGAAGCTCGATGCTTTGGCTGTTAGGGTAAAGACCCTTGAAAACAACAAAGGAATTGCATCTACCAGCCAGCCGAGCAATCTTTCAGGAAAATATGTCATGAACCCCAAATAGTTCTGCCAAATAATCACCACCGTCGACGAGAGCAACCAGCAGTTTTCACCAACAGCCTCACCACAATGGTTTCATGTTGATGAGGTCAGCGATATCTCAAGAAGGTGGAGGAATTTAACAAAACTACGATTCATGTCATGCAAAGGTTGGAAGGACAGCTCCAAGAGGAGAAAGCCGAGACTTCCTCCTGTACTTACAAGCCACCATTGCCGTTTCCTCAAAGGAAAAAGAAGCATAAAATGAGGTGGAGTTAATCGAGAAGCTGAAGCAGGTGGAGGACCAGATCAAGGACTTTGATAAGAACAAACCCATACCAGGCTTCCACTTGACCCTCAAAGACAAGCTTTACGCCTAAGCATACACAATGACTAAACGAGATCTGATCACATTAGAGAAAAGGCTGAGGGAAGAGTCATTGGTCATGGAGAAAGTAGGAGATCGCGGTTCGTTTAATCTGTCGTGTAAACTCGGCAACCTCAGCTTTGAAGACTGTCTATGCGACCTCGATGCTAGTACAATGTCATGTCCCTTGCCATAGCTTAGCACCTCAGATACAACTATTACACCGAGCGCGAGAAACCGCTAGTTCTGGCTGAATGGAGCGAGAAAGAGACAGTGGAGCAATAGGCAATGTCTTACTCCCCTCTAACTACTTGGTGCTTGAAATAGGCAAAGACGTCAAGAAAACTCTCCTCCTAGGAAAACCTTTCCTAACATCCACCGGAAGTATATTCGACTGTAAAAATGGAATAGTGGAATTAAGGCTGGCTGATGACGTAGTGATGCAGTTCGACACCAAGGGAAGCAAGGAAAAAGCAAGGGAGCATGCATACTCTCTCTAGCTCAAGAACCCTATCAAGATAGCTGAGGATGCCTCTCTGGACATATGCTACGATGGAGAGAGCTTCGACGGCTGCTGCCTTAACACCATGTTCGGAGAATCATTGGAGGGAATTGAGAGAGACCC